GGTCGTGGAGGTGCTTATCATTATCAGGGCGACGCCGCTCCTTATACTTCAGGGCAGTATCAGTATTTTCAAGACCCTCATTATCAGGGTGGTTACCCACAGTATCAGGGAGGTTTATGCCATACCAGCCACATTCAGCAGGTGGATCCTAGTGGTACTAGGGGGACAGCCCCAGCAAGTAGAGATTGCTGCTAGCAGTGCAGGATCTTCGAGTCAATCGGGTCAGCCAAGACAAGGACGAGGTATTCATGCTAATAGAGGTCGTGGTGGACAACAGCAAAACCCAGGACGTATCCATAGCATGACACTGCAGGATGCTCAGAACAATCCTGATTTAATCATGGGTACGTTGAACATTCTTGGTCATTTTGCTAAAGTATTAATTGATTGTGGTGCTACGCATTCTGTTGTTTCTCATACATTTGCTCAAGTGACGCAACCTCATCCTACACCTCTAGGATATGATTTAAAGTTTTCTATGCCTAAAGGGGAGAGATGTTATGTTGATCGTGTATATCCAGGATGTCAAGTGATGGTAGAGGATGTCGTTATGCCAGCTAACCTTATTCCGTTATACATTGTTGATTTTGATGTGATTTTGGGCACTGGTTGGTTACACTACAATCGTGCCAAGATAGATTGTTATGGAAAGGCATTCACTTTTCATCGTCCTGGATTACTTAAGGTTACTTTTGTGGGAGAGCGTAGCGGGGTGAGTGTCACGCCCCGGACCCGAGGTCAATAGGAAAAATAACTCCGAATTCGAAACGTGAGATAAAAGCTAACTAATTAAAATAAAACTGAAATAACGAAGTGAAAAATAAAATTCTTCTTATTTAAAATAACTCAATAATTCTTTACAAGGCTAAAATAAATAAATACAAAATTCTATCCTCACACTTAATCCAATCTCATCCCATCTACCCTCTTAGATTGTTTAGTTTGTGAACCTGCATAACAATAGAAGGGTGAGCTTTAACAGCTCAGTAGGGACATAACCTTATCACAGTAAATTGACAATATTGAATTACGTGTCATAAAGTCATGTAATCAAGTACCAAATCATTATCATCAACAATGCATGAATGCGATACAATACTCTTCATCTCTACCCGTTAATTCATAATAAAACACGCGGACCTGCACGTTCCATACAGTGATTTTACCTCTACAGTGGTGGTTTGAATGTTCTAATATACAAATTAACCCCCTGTAACTCAATCTTCCCAATTTCCCCTTTTGTTAGTCATCTTGCCAAAACCCTTCGTCGCCAATCCCGAATTACCCTCAAAGAAACTGTGCACTGTGGGCTCACCTGAGACTTGGTACCCACTAAGAGTTTGGCTCAACTACACAAAAGATCCTTTCCAACTACCCTCATTTCCAGTTCCTTTCTCAACCCCGAACTTCCAACTATTCTCATACATGAGTAATGCACAAATAATCTCATTTCATCATTCACATGTACCACAACATATTCTCAGCGAATATAACGTCACCAATAATTCTGTAACCAATAACAAGTAAACACGCAAGAGCAGTATTTGTCCAATTAGTAAACCAGATCATATTAATCAACCAACAAGATCAATACCAATAATAATATAATGCTTCACGAAATTTAATAAAGTCAATCTTCGTAAAGGTCTGCCGTATTTCCCCTACCTGGATTCCAAAGCATTGCTCCAAGATAATAACACAAGAAACCACAACTGTGATAAGCTTCTGACAGAGAGTAGACCCCGATAGGAAACGTTTCATCTAGCCAGCGAAGAAAACCGAAGCAAGAACATTCTATTTATAGGAGAGGGAAGTCGGAACAGAGGAAGGTGAGATCAGACCAAGCAAACTTACACCGCCTAAAAGCTATCGATAGGAATGATGTAAAAGCCCTTTAATTGGCTATGGTTTTGGTCCAATTAGAACAGAACAAACAGCTTAATAAAATAATGTAAAAGGAAAGAAAATGAATAATATGAATATATAGTTCAAATACTACCGTAATGGTGTACTAAACTGATTTGGTTGAAAATAATAGTAAATTAGAGTATAGAAAAATGAAATAAAGGAATTAACAATTAAATAAGAAGTAATACAAAACTTTTTGAAATTAATAAGTATACACAACACAGAAGTATATATATTTATTTTTTAAAATCCAGGTCCTCACAATCTACCCTCCTTAAAAGAAATTTCGTCCTTGAAATTTGTAAGACCTTACTCAATATATAATAGTAGTTGAAGAAAACTAAGAGAATATCCAACCAGAGTGGTTGCATAGAGATTACCCTTCCGTTTCAAGTGGATTGCAATTCTCTATGTATTTTGCCTTCCAACTCTAGAAATTATTCCCTTTACATATAGTTTTAATATTGTAAAGTCCACTGAATAGTAAAACGGAAATATGCCAAAACATAAGTTTTCTTTTCAAGCAACAATAAAATTGAACATAACCCTTCAATTAAAAATATAAGGGCCATATCTTTTTCTTTTTCAAAACGAGCGGATGAAAGTTTTGAAATGAAACACAAAATTTGCATTTGAGCGAAATCATTTTCTTCTGTACTAACAAAATTATTTTCAAAAACCAATTACTCACACAATTATCACGAAACCAAAAGCTCAATCCCAAAGCTCAACTCACAATCCCAACACTAGTTGCCTCAATCTCAGGAAAAACACTGGTACGTAACAAGCGGTCTAACCAAACCCCAACACCACTAATTGGATTTGAGTGAATCGATTTCCTTGATCTAAATGTAGTTTCCAAACGAAATAGTACTTCAAGTAGTATACCTAATGGATTCCTAGTATAACAACATTCAGAAATGTGACCCATCACTCAGCTCCACTATTTAATTCTTTTATTCTCACCACACGACATTCGTGACTTCGTTTTACTCATCATATAGCCTAAAGCTATATAGGAATGAGGATTATTGGTCTCACCACACAACCGTAAGTCATGTAGGAATGAAGTTCTTTGTCAAATTCATCACATAGCTCAAAGCTATGTAGGAATGAGATTAATCAAACTTATCACACAACCAATAATTGTGTAGGAATAAAGTTCAATATATTCATCACACAACCAAAAGTTGTGTAGGAATGAAATATAATATACTCATCACACAATCCAAAATTGTGTAGGAATGACATTTAAGTATGTTGATGCACAAAACCGGAGGTTTTGAACAACGTAAATCCGACTGTGAATCTGTAAGAAAGTGTAAATAACACAAGATGTATCGTGGTTCACCCCAATGTTTGGGCTACGTCCACACTGATTATTGTATTTCTGAGAGGATTGTGAGAGAGAGCTTCTGAGGGTGAGAGGGCCTAGGAATTGGCCTCTTATAATTGTGAGGATGAGGGGTCCTTTTATAGAATAAAGGCTCCTCACTTATTACATATTTGCCCCTTCCTTTATTACATAATTACATTTAAGTCCCCGAGTATTTGTACGAGATCTAAATACGAAGGCCCTAAATATGGTATAAACAGTAGTCCTCCAAGTTTTCGGTCAATGGAGTCTTTTGGCTGGAGACTTGAAATTTAGTCCATGTGTGGGCCGAAGTAACTAGATGTCATCTAGAACTGATACTTGATATGAGACGGTACCCAATCTAAAATGATGCTCAACTAGAAGTAGCATATGTTGCAAGGCTGCTTGGCTTGTGGCTTGTGCTACCTTGGTTGGCTCGGCTTGCGGCGTTGGAAGTTGAGGGAGTCGCTTTTATAGAATAAGGGTTTTCTCCTCAATACATAAATATGGGCTAGAGTTAATACTCGCAGCGAGGCGGTTGCTCAGTAGGCGGCGATGCTCTCTAATGATGGTGAGGGAGTCCCTTTTATAGAATATGGCTCGCTCCTCAATACATGAATAATGGGCTAGAGTTAATGCTCTCTAAAGATGGTGAGGGAGTCCCTTTTATAGAATAAGGGCTCACTCCTCAATACATGAATAATGGGTGCTCTCTAATGAAAGTGAGGGAGTCCCTTTTATAGAATAAGGGCTCGCTCCTCAGTACATAAATAATGGGCTAAGTCCCTCGAGTATTTTTTTATGAGGCTCAGTTGAGGCCCAATATATGGTGTATAGTGTAGTCCCCCAAGTCTTCGGTCAATAGAGTCTGTTGGCAGGAGACTTCAAATTGAATCCATGTATAAGCCGAAGTGGCGGTTGTTCGGAGGCAGTATTTGTATACCCTGCATTGAAGCTTTGTAGGTGAAGCTTTGCAAGTGAAGCTTTTGAAGCTGGAGCTTTGTAAATGAAGCTTTTGAAGTTGGAGCTCTTGAAGCTAGAGCTCCGTAAATGAAGCTTTCGAAGCTAGAGCTTTTGTAAATTGAGCTTTTGAAGCTAGAGCTCTGTAAATGAAGCTTTTGAAGCTAGAGCTTTTGTAAATGAAGCTTTTGAAGTTGGAGCTCTGTAAATGAAGCTTTTGAAGCTAAAGCTCTTGTAAATGAAGCTTTTGAAGCTAGAGCTCTGTAAATGAAGCTTTTGAAGTTGATTGACATGAGTGATGCTCATGAATGTTTATGTTGATTGATATGAGTGATGCTCATGGATGTTGACATGAGTGATGCTCATGAATGTTTATGTATGATTGATATGAGTATTGCTCATGAATGTTTATGTATGATTGACATGAGTAATGCTCATGTATAATTTGAAGTACTGGGTGTACTTTTGAGCACCTGGTTGGTGATAATAGCGGCAGGCTGCTGAATAATTTTGGAGTACTGAGCGTACTTTTGATCACCTGGTTGGTGATAATAGCGGGCCTGGCTCTTTTGGGCATATGGGCCTTCGCCCTCCACATAACATTCCAGCCCATTATTTTGGGCTTGCCATTTTTTTTTTAATTACCCTCTGATGGGGTTTATACAGATGTCTCCGAAAGATATGAAAATAAATTACATCATTCAAAAATAAATCCGACCCTTTGCTCAATGGGTCACGCCCATAATTCTTTTTTTTTTTTGCATGCCATCACCACCGCAATTATGTTTGCTTCTTTTTATCTTCTTTTGCTTTCTACTTTTGCTTTTACTTTCTCTTTTCTCTTTTGGTAGATGGCAGACAACGCCAAAGCGGAATAATGCATTATTATGAGCACATGAATCTTATCTTTTGCCTAGTTTTCCACTAGTGCTTGTGGTATTCGCAGGAGATGGGATCTGGGTCGGCGACTACCCCAACACCTTGCCCTGATACGTAATAGCCTGATGTCTCACTGCCATCTCCATGTTGGAAGGTGTACGAACACTGGTTATTCTGCATGGAACCAACAGAATCCGATTGAGATCTAAGACTGCACCTTCGATCTGAGCAAGAAATGAATTGTGACGTTGATTTGGGCTTCTGGGTTGCTGAAAATTGGGGCTTCTCAAAGCTGTAGTTGTAAGAGAGAGGCACATCAGTGTGCTAAATCTTAAACAAAGACTCTATTGCAGTGATAACACTGTACTCTTCCCACCCGATTATTCCCTAAATGAAGTCGCCTTGCTTAAACTTGGGATCTCCGGATTCCAAAACTTTGGCTCCATATCCGACTATAGGCGAACCGAGTTTGAAAGAATCCATAAAACTGGCAACAAGTTCACACTTGGTCATGCAGTTTCTAATATAAGGGTCGCAGGACAAGTAGAGGTTCTTCACCAGAACCCCTTTTGAACTTTCTGGAAGCTTGAGCTTGGTGGTGGCGGCGGCGAGTTGCATGTCAGATTCTTTGGGGAAGCCGGTCATATAGTCTTTCAGTAGCACCTGCTTGTTGCTGATCACTTCCTCTTTTCATCAATGCTACACCGCCACCACAGATGGCAGTGAGTGAAACTAGCAATCTAGAGAAAACCCCAGCCGTCGATGAAGTCCTAATCCCATCATCAACATTCGATGGCAGAAGAACCCTCCCGTTGACGAACAACAGCCGTCCATTTCTAGGCTGGCCCACCATGACGCCTTCCAGTTCCGCGACCGTATAGTAAAATGCAGCATATCCGAACCTCCTCTCCACCTCAAGAAACTCCCCAAGCGAAGCCGGCTTGGTGCCGTCATCTTGGCAGAGGCGCCACCACCTCTTCCGTCGCCCCGCCCGCACACCCACCGCCAACGAAGCGGCGGTGCTCTTCTTTTTCGGCTTCTTCGTCTTCCCGGAGCTGCTTCCGCTAGTACTACCGATGTTGTTGATGTTTTCGATTTGGGGGTCGTGGCGATGCTGGCTCGGAACTCTGAAGGTGATGGCGGGGAAGCTCACTCCCATTAGTGTTCCTAACGTCGTGCTCCGATCGTGAAAGAAGGAGCCTGTAGACTCGGTGTCGAGATCGGAGGAGGAGACGGAGGAGTTGGTAGGGGAGGAGGGTGGCGACAGCATATCAGTTCTCGGATCTAGCATTTTCCCCGCTTTCTGTTGTTTCTGAGTGTTAGTTTTAGGGAGAGAATTTTCTGTTTGTTTCTCGGAAAAATTGAGATGGGAATTTGGATTTTGATCTTTGTTGTCTTCGGATTCCAGAGTTCTGGAGATTAAGCGAGGGACGGAGGCATGGGAGAGGAGGGTGGAGATGAATAAACCGGCGAAGAAGAAGAGGGAGCAGAGGAGGAAGACGGTGGGTAAGCCCAACTTTGCTCTGGAGCTCTTTGCCTTCATTTTCATGGCGATTTTTCACATTTATTGAGTGGATTTGTTTCTTTCTTTGTTTTTGGTTTCAGTGTGTAACTGGCTGAGAGAGGAGAGAGAGGTGGTTGGAGGTCTGCGACAGTTTTTTTTTTTTTTTGGAAAAGCTCAAAGAGTGAGGTTTTTGGGTTCTTCCAGATTTTGCAGATTCATGGTGGAGGTGAAAAAATGAAAGAGAACCGACACAAATTTTCGTATCGATTCCCACAGAAGGCGCCAAATGTTGATGCACAAAACCGGAGGTCTTGGAACAACGTAAATCCGACTGTGAATCTGCAAGAAAGTGTAAATAACACAAGATGTATCGTGGTTCACCCCAATGTTTGGGCTACGTCCACACTGATTATTGTATTTCTGAAAGGATTGTGAGAGAGAGCTTCTGAGGATGAGAGGGCCTAGGAATTGGCCTCTTCTAATTGTGAGGGTGATGGGTCCTTTTATTAAATAAGGGCTCCTCACTTATTACATATTTGCTTATTCCTTTATTACATAATTACATTTAAGTCCCCCGAGTATTTGTACGAGATCTAAATACGGAGGCCCTAAATATGGTATAAACAAAGTAGTTCATCATACAACCCCAGTTGTATAGGAATGAATCACCATGTATATAATACCAACTCATGTAGGAATGAGAATGTCACTTAACTATTACCTTTCTGAGTAGGAGTGAGTCACATGTGAGTTGGTTTCCTCTCCTTAACATAATCGAACTAATAAATACTTCAGTAAATCTAAACCTTAATTTTAAACTCCTGTCTAAGAGAGTCTCTTACATCAAAGTTCTAAGACATCCCCCATCTTATAAATTTAGGACGGTTCCCAACTAATTCTTTTCTGAAAGAAATGTGGTGTTTGCAAAACTATGCAAACATAGAAATACTCCTAAGTCATCTAATGGACCCTAACAGAAACTTGTGCTCCAATCACCACCATAGAATTAATCCATGAAAATTCAATGAATAACATGGATCACATGTGAATTTGTTTCTTCAACGAAACTTTATCGAATAAATGACTACTTCCAGTAGTCCAAACTCTGACTTTGAACCTACATTTAAGAGAGTCACTTGTATCTCAGACAACCTTTAACTCTTAATTCTAGGACAATCTTCAACCAAAAACTTCAAGATAGTCCATCTCATAAGAGAGGTGATGTTTGCGAACCAAGCAAATAGATTAGTACGAGTATTCATACACTTTATCTCAAGATATGGTTTAATTTAGTAACCACCACCATAGGAGTCATGAGATCATTGAACACCATGCACTACCTAAAGACAATGATGATTGGTAATCTCGTACTCCAGCTAATTGGTTGAATCCCAACGAACTAACATGACGGAAACAATGGTAATCAACCAGTGAAATGAAGTACAGTACTCAATTGAAAAGTTATTTTGGTTAATCTAAAACAAAATACTCATAACAAAAGGAACATTACCATAGAAATGCCTCTAATGAAACACATATGTATATATACGTACATGCGTATGTATGTATATCCAACATATATAATCATTTCCAGCACTAAATACATGCTTTACTTCATATATAATTGAAACCATATATAGCATAAATGTATGCAGCTTGATAACTAACATGGAAGCTCACAAATCCATGACAGATAAACCATTATATAAAATTAAAAACAACATGATGGATAGACATGAAAATAGCTATAGAAAATGTAGGGAAAAACTGGGGATATTTCATAAACTTATCAAGGGTATTATGTCAAAATAGATTTTCTTTTTAAAATGAATCAGTTGATAGATCAATTGATATCACACAACCCTTTCAGCTTTCGTATGAAAACTGTCAACACAAATATGTAGTGCATAAAACCAAATGGATTAAGATGTGGAAAGAAACATTTGTAAAAATTAAGTTGTCAATCACAATACTGCATAACATTAACAACATATTAAGAAAGTCATAGTATAGCCACTAACAAAATACAGGGGATATGAAAATAATTACCAAAGCTTTGTGAGCTACAGGTTTACAACATATGTATTCGTGATTGTTTCATGATTTAGACGCCATAGATTTCGATGAAACCTCTCTCTCTGTTTCTGAGTTTAGCATGCAGTTGAAACCCTGGTCTTTATTTATACTAGGGGAAATGCGAGAGTGGAATGGATAGACTTACCAGAACGGAATAAGATCTTTCCTACAAAGAGCAACGTGTAAAGCCAAATCGCTTTGGATTTAGTGGTGTGACACCTATTCCACCTTGTGGCAAACCCATTCCAGCTTCCAACTTGATTAGCACGAACTCAAGCTAACAGATAGCTTACTCACTCATTTGAATGCAGTAGCGGTCAACTACTTAAGTAGGTAGAATATCACGCAGATTGCCAGCTTTTTCTTTTACAATCATCTCAACATTTCAATTTAATTCTAAACCAAAACCATGTCCATCACTCGACAGTTAGGAAAACTATAGTATAGTTGGACACACTGGTGAAGAAAACACTAACCAATTAAAGATTTTTTTTTATCATTATTATTTTTTTAATACGGGTCTTCCACTTCTACTGAGTAATCACAACACAAGTAATATGTACCACATAAGCCAAATAAAATTTCAACATTTCACAGCAGTAAAGCAAACAATGACACTTTACTTCCAACTACATTAAGACCTAACAACCCATATTACTACCCCCCTAACTAGACCTACTGATAGAAGCATATTTATGCGACTTAGTTAGCTTGTTTTCTTGCATTTTCATAGTTTGTTTGTGTTTATTATAGTGTTTTAAGCTATTTTCGTGTGTTTGTAGGTCCATATGACAAAGTTGGCAAGAAAGTGCAATTTGGAGCATTTTGAGGCAGTTTTGGGCATCAAATGGATAGCTTATGAATGGAGCAAGAGGGATGGACGAATTTGAAGTTCAAGAGGCTAGGAATGTGCTGAAAAGATGAAGGAAATAAATCCAAGACAAAGAAGATAAGGAATCAGCTCTGTTGATGCACAAAATCAGCGAAGACTTTGGTACAACAGAAAGTGTCAGGTTTTGTGACCTTCGCTTGGTTGCTTCGGTCACTAGTGAGGATAAGTACGTAAATGAATAGAGACAGAGAAGCAAACACAGGATGTACGTGGTTCACCCAGATTGGCTACGTCCACGGAGTAGAGGAGTTCTTATTAGTAGTGAAGGGCTTACACAAGTACAAAGGATCAAGCTCTCAATTTAGTGAGTTCTTGTGAATGATTTAACACAAAATGGCATTAGGCAATATTGTGGGGGAATGACCCCTATTTATAGAAAAACTTGTAGCTTTGTCACATTGACATGTGTCATGTTATGATTGGTTCTTGATGTTGACACGTGCTGCGCTCTGATTGGCTTCTAATCTTGACACGTGTCGAGTAGTGATTGGCCTCCTGGTCGGAGGGGAACTCTTCTGGGTCCTTGACAGTATAGCGTTGGCCGGTGCTCGGTAGTTTCGGGATTGGTCAAGTATGGTACAAACAGTGCTCCCCTAAGTTCCCGAGTGAGGGAAACTCCTCGGTTGGGGACTTGCAAGATCCAATCCCTTGAGTAATCACGAAACTTCTAAGTACCGAAGTGTGGTCTGATCTTCATCTGCCCTTCTCTGGAAATACCTTTCCTCCATCCGGGAATGGTGTCCTTAGCTGATGTTGACGCACAAGGTAATGTATCAATTTCACTTGAAGCTTAGTTGTAGTTTCGGGCTTAGTCAAGTGTGATACAAACCCTATAGTAGGAGTCCCCCAAGTCGCCGAGCTAGGAGATCTGCCGAAAGAGGTGACAGACAAGGTAAGCAGTCAAACTTCCAAGTAAGCAACCCAGGATCAGAGGTTTGACGTCGGCTTCCGGTTGATTGTTCTCATTCTCCTTGTCTCTCATTCAACTGCCAGGATAAGGAGAAGCAAATGGATAAGAGATGATATGAGATACTTTTGCTTTTGAAGAAGTAACTTTCCACAGGCTTATTCTTGAACTGTGTGCTGGAGGGTTTTCTGGTGCCCTTCAGAGTATAAGGCCGACTCAAAAATTTGAGGGTCAAAACAAGTCCATCAAATCTAGAGTACGTTCGACCTTGATGATATGGGATACTTTTGCTGTTGACGGAATAATGAATGTGGTATGGAAAGGTGTCGTGCTGTAGTGATCTGTTTCAGCTCACCGTTGAACCTTCTGCTTCAATCTTTTGCATGGCAGAAGTGGTGTGCAACCTTTGCATTTAAATGGTCCTTCAGAACATTCCTTCATAGTGACTCATCCACGCTTGGCAGCTTCAGTGTAAAAGAGCCAATATCTGATCAACTGTCATGAGGTATTTGCCGGTGGAATTCGTGACCTTGACAGCAGTTGAGGATGAGTACTCGAGAGCAATGCTAAGTAAGCAACCAGGCAAAGGCTCCAGGCAGTCAGTTCCAAATTGGAGGTTTGATTTCAGGTTCCGACTGACTGCTCTCTTTCTCCTTGTCCTGCAGGTGTGGACAAGGACAAAGACAAAGACAGGGAGAAAGCATGATATGGGATACTCTTGCTTTCGACCCTGATGATATGAGATACTCTTGTTCTTGGTGTGGCTTATTTGCTGAGGTATTATCGGGGGGAAATAAAGCTGAGTATTTCGAGAGGTTATGTTGAGGGTGCCTTTTCGAATGTGAGAAAGGGTTGAGCATTTTTGCAGGTTTGCCTGTCCGTTGAGGAGGGAGGTCAATGTATATAGGGATTTCCCAATAACAAGTAGTAATGCTATTCCTTTACCCTTCTTGGTCACAGCAATGTAGTGGGAGCTGCCAGCTTCACGTGTTTTAATTTTGTCAGAGCATTTTTGAAAAAGTGGTATGTGGTATCTGGAAAGCTGATATTACGTGTGGAGATTACAGACAAGCTTTATCTAAGGAAATCTGGCTCTCGAAGTTCTGAGAGTTTGTGCCTCTTCGGTTTTCGAACAAGCAATCCCGTCGAGGATCTGACTCTCGAGATTCGGAAAGCGGTGCTACTCCAGTTTTTGAGAAAGTAATTATGTTGGGAGTCTTTTCTCGAATGTGAGTAAAGGTTGGTCGTTCTTGCCAACCTGTCTTGCCACAAAA